CACAAGCGTTTCATTATAATTTCGAAACACAAGTTAACAAAAGACCACTTCTGTCTTCACTAAGCGGCCCCGCCGCGGTGGTCTAGTGGCTAAGGTACTCTGCTGCTGACCCGCAGGTCGCGGGTTCGCATCCCGGCTGCAGCAGTTGCATTTCCGATGGAGGCGGAAATGTTGTGGACCCGTGTGCTCAGATTTGGGTGCACTTTAAAGAACCCCAGGTGGTCGAAATTTCTGGAGCCCTCCACTACGGTGTCTCTAATAATCATATGGTGGTTTTGGGATGTTAAACCCCACATATCAATCAATGTCTTCACTAAGCGAACTCAGCCTAACATTCTGCTGCATCAGTGCAGCCGATAAAGTAAAATGTGAAACATGTCAAGTTTCTGAAAATAAAAAGCAGCTCTCGGATTCTATGGCTGCCAATATTTTAAGCGTCTAATCTTGAATAAAAAGGCCCGTTGAAAAATTTTTGTTATAAAGTAAGACATCTTCATAAGGCTGAATAAGCAGAACAGCAGCAGTAACAACAACAAAAGCGGGCAATGTCACCCCTTATGTAATGCCGCTCCTAGAAAGGGGGGCCTTTAAGGTAATAAACTGAACTGAACTGAATTCTTATCAGAATAACCACTTTAAAACAAAACTAAATATCACTCCATAGGAATGGTAGCACTCCCATCATCTGCTTGACTATCGTCTCCCACACACCACTCTTTAGGTTAGTTTTACATTGTCATCACAAGAGATGTCCCACAAGCGAGGATATTCTTCCACGAGAACAGAGGAAAAAAGTTGCTTTATCGTTCATTTTCGCCATCACGGTGCACACAAGTCCGGAGCGTAATGTGGAACAGCTGCCGCGTTCTGCAAGCACTGCAGGAGAGAGGGCTACACTGTGGCCAGAGACCGCGACATCCCCCGCTGCACAATGATCGTTTGACCGGTCAGAGAAACGATCCCCACCTCCCCCGAGGAGCTGCGAAGAGGTCGCATGGACACACTAGCCCCTGACGTCGTTGTCACGTGATGCGCCATTCTCGCCTCTCCTCCGGGGATTTCTCCCTTGTGTGAATCCCGCTTAAAGGAGCACTGACATCAAATTTCAAAATCGAGATGGGCCCATCATTCGATCGCTTGGTATGCATAGGTCTTCTTGGCCAAATTTAAACGGCATCTGTCGCACGGAAGTTATTTTAATTCGATATCAAATAGCATACAAACGCTAAGAAGAAGAAACGGAAAATAGACTGCCTTGCGACATCGACACTAGTGCTAGGTTTTCGGTGTGATACATTCCACAAATACCATCCTGAGTGACGGTGCCCTAGTGGCGATGACGTGTACCATCCTAGTGTTCTTATTGTGGCGCCGAAGCGCAGAAACATACTCGCTCGTCACGTCTAGTCTTTGTCGCACAGATTTGAATGATTTCGGGAAATAATCAATATAATAACCACCTTTAGAAGAACGCCGAAATAAAAGAGCATGATTAAACGTGAGCTTGTCGATCAGCATGTCAGGGCATTGTAGTGAGTTGCAGTCGTCTCGTTCGAAGCACGGAAAAAGCGCAATGAGGGTGTCTTTTCATATCACATATGTGTTACACATCAACACGACCACAAGCTTTGATCAAAAGCGGAACAGCGTATAGTCAGATATCATTGCAAACAAGTAACACGCAGGTGTCGTTAAATTTTAGTTCATTTGTAGACTTTGCGTCCATGTACGACTGGTGCAAATTCCTCGGCAAATTGATATGCGACAGTTATTTTAACAAAGCCAGGTATTTCGTGAAGTCTAATCAGAGTACTTGCGAGTTTGTGTTGTCACCTGGACCACTATTTTGCAGCAATACCTTCTACTCAATTCTGTACATCTTATCCACCACTTATGGCCAGTTTATGTGACTGATAAACTGGGTGGGCAGTCGCTACGACCACTGACAAAGAGCAAAAAACATTGGCATCATAAAAGCCATTGCTACAGAACTGCAACCCTTGAAATGAAAAACAGTGTGTTCAAAGCAAACCACATATTCAAATATGCACATATGCCAGGAAACATGCCTTGTGAAAAATGAAACAATAAAGAAGCAAACACTGCCTACACTCCCCACAGTGCAAGTGCTCACTAAGTCTTCTGAGACATCTTAATACTCATTGAGCACAAATAATTGTATTATTAGTTTTCTCAATTTTTACAGCAGGGTACTATTATTGTTCGGTAAGAAATTGTCAAGAATGCTCACAGCATATTTGCCCTTCACTTTATTTATTAACAGCACCATAGCTCTACATGAGAAGGAACTAAATGTTACACAATGCAGAATGTAGCCACACTTTAGCTGCTCCCTTTAAACCGAAGCTACATTTACTTCAGACCCAACAAGCCCTAGACAGCTGTACAACCTGAAGTCCTGCATTTTTTGCTATTCTGCATTGCAAACCCCATGAGTGGTACAAAACCAACAAGCAACCACATATATATGCTTGAAACAGCTGTGCGTAAAAAGCTAGAGGGTCTCTGTGCAGCCTCCCTGAGCAAACAAGTTCAGCTGTTTTACTATCACAACAACACGAACAAAATCATATGTGCCAATTTGACTATTTAAAATCACTATATATATAGCATTGTAGGTAAAAAAGAGCTACATAGACCAGCCATTTTTCCAGCAGTTCTACCGCTAACCGCAATCAAATGCTGCCACGTGGATCACCTCCCGTGTCATTGCATAATTACACAGCAGCTGGTGTTAGGCTTGCTTACATTCCCTGCTTCTGTATATGCAATCAACAAGAGTTCTTTATGCTCCAATATCGAATTCTCTCATACTCACTTGAATGCCACATTGACCTACATATGTGACCAATTCATAAACACGCATTCAAGCTTAGCAGTGACAGCCAGACAAAAGGCTAAAAATGCTTTATTATAACGTCCAGTTAGGCTGAAGCCTACACGGAGCAAGAGACCTTGAAATTTAAGTTGCTTTAGATTAATCTACGCCAGCAATAAATGCAAGCTACCTTGATGCATCGCACAACGCATCACTTGAATTGCCTGCCACCTGCAATAACAAGTTGCAATTCGACCAGCTAGTTGGCTAATATTTCTAATTTCACATATTCTGGCAACATGTGCATACAAAAACAAAGCTGATGCCAGAAGGAAAAACGCGTCGTACAAAGAAAGAACGATGGTCTCCTGCTACATGGCCCCACTGAACAGCCTCAGCTGGCGTAGGGCCAGATGTCTATCAGCTGAACACAACTCGACCGGGCAGGAGCTATTGGTCGAAATTTTCCGCTAGCGCTACACAGCCTCATTTTAAAGAAGAGATACCGAGCAACAAAAAAAAAAGGCCACTGCTCGGCCTCGAAGAACTGCTTGGTGTACTGACACACGGGGAGCCGAACGTTTACAGCGGCCTTTTATAATTTTATTTTGTTTTTCCTTACTCGTCATTAACAGGAGCATAGATCGCGCCTAGCTCGGCCGCGGTGGCCTTGACATTGTTTCCTTCGTTTGTGGCGCGCCGAAAATGAACTAATATATAAATAAGAAACGCTAACGCTAAGTCGCGTTTTATTTTTCCACCACTGCTATGGATAAGCCCGCCTGCTGCACTCTTTTTAGCCGCATTTCACTCGTTATCGGAGTGCAGAGTTTTGCACTGCTTGCAATTTGCGCAAACAGCAAGGTTTTGAGACGTCGCCGAACCACGGGTGCCACGGGCCCACGCGAGATATATAAGCGGTATCAGAGGAAAACATGTTCGAAGCGTAAAAAATCAAGGACTGAATGACGGACACATTAAGCGCTCGCATTGAACCACTCTTCAGTTCGCCATGGCGCGTTGATGACAGCTTTACGCTTCCGTGACCGCACGGTTTAGCCCCAGATGCCTAGCGCAAGTAATTACATAACCCTAGCCGTACACAGCCAGATGGGGCGAAAGCAGGCTGCAACCTGCGACTTATGGGCGAGGTCTGCTAGACTGAACGCATGGGGGACACGAATTGAACACGCACAAGAGCCCGCGAAGTTGCGACACAGGCTGTTTTTTTCGTCGCCTCGGTCGCAACCACGCAGGAATGAGTGCCAGGCCACGGTGGAAGCAAGCAGCACGAGGCGTTCGCATTCGCGAGTGTGTGATGAAACCGTATCATGAACGCCTTAAATGAAAAACGGAGCACGTACTATAAGCACGGGGTTGCGAAAACTCGTACTGGCCGCGCTTACGTATAACATGGTCGGCCGCCCCTGCTTAGAGACATACTCGAAAAAGAAAAGAAGTAACCCACGCCGTACCAACCAACTAATAGAAGAAAATTGAAAGCGCGAAATGAAACAGGTGACGGTGACTCACAGGCACGCACACTCGGAAACGACTGCATTCGAAACGCCCGACAAATATTTCGGCGTTAGTTTGCATTTCACGAGCACAAACCGAGTGCCAAGAGAATACGAAGAGAGAGGAATTGCCAGAGAAAAATGGATTGGTGAAAATGTCGAGCCGATCTCGCAAGCGCAACGCGTCACTGAGGGACGCCTTTCGTGGCATGACCTTCAAACTTACGGGAGATGGAACCGCGCGGCACGAGACGGCACTGACGGCAGTGCGACCACGTGCTCTCTCCACGGCTTGCTTTGAAAACGAGTCTCGAACTTATTGACGACTCTGAATAGAGGCACACCACTGTGCTCGGTGCGTCATGAACTCGACGTGCAAATACACAACACTTAGTGGATATAAGAGCAGCGGTAATGATTCCAAATTAGAGCACCTCACGGATATTTAGTAGTCTATATTAGGAAATAAACAAACAAAAGTGTGCCAGTTATATTGCGTCGAAGTGGAGCAACACGACCAGGTTCAAAACACGCAATGACAGCGCGAAACTGCATTCGCCCAGTTCATACGCTACTCGTGGTGCAAATCCCGAAGATATCGAAGAAGAGAAAAAGAAGCTTTGCTGCAAGGAGAGTAAAGTTACCTCCCGGAGTGGTGGAGAATATGGTGCCCCCGGGCGTCGAGCTGTAGTCTTGAGGCAGCTGACTCGCATCGTTGATGACAATCCGCCGAGTCGGTATGCTGCGGCTAGTGGTCACTTTGTGCTCGGGAGAGTGTGCAGACATGACTACAGCAGCACGTTCGTGCAGGTCCCGGACGAAAATGGTCACGTTGCTCAGTGAGGTCGACAAGGTCCAACGTTCGCGTGCGGTGCGTCGCAAGCCCGTTCTCCACGAGCGCCCACTCCGAGCAAGGTGTTCTCCGTGTGTTCTGCGGAGCAAGTGGGGCTCTTCGCTTTGGCTACCCCCGGGCTGCCAGAGCCACCCAGAGCGCGCTCGTTTTTCTCGGGCTTCTCGGGCTGTACCTACGTACCCTCCCCCCCGCGGCGCACTTCCGGTTGGCGTTCGTTTTTCTCGGGTTGGACGGTTCTGGTAGAGTGTACTAGATGTTTTGAGTGGCGTGACCGCGCCTCGCCGCCTGATCCTTCCGCGTTGCCCGCAGCAGCGGCGCTGCAGTCGAATAGTACTGAGAGCCGCGTGCAGGAACTGTGGTGCACTTCGGCTCCTCCGTCGCGCTTTCTTGATGCATATTTCTTTGTACCTGCCCATCACTCATGTCTAGCACATGATGTCATAGCCCTTGACGTATAACACGCCAATCTACTGAATTTGAGCTTCATAAAATCCCTTGTGAGAGATCGAAAATAATTCAGAAAGGGTGCGTATTATACTAATTCCTTCCCTCCTAACTCTTTCTTTGTTGGTTAGTCGTCTACAATATTCAAAATAATTGAGCCGGTTTATTGGAAGTTAGCTGTGCTCAGAAAGCCGTGAGATTAAAAACAAATACTGTGTCACACGCACACAGAACCAGAAAGCCATTAGTAACGAGTGGAGAGGAAGGGAATCTGAACCCCATACACACGAAATGTTCTCGTAATTTAACTTTTCAGGGTATACTAAAATATTTACACGCATTCACAGTGACTGCCAATTGCCAAAGTTAGGCGTTGTGCTGCACACCCCACCCCCTAAAAAAAAAAGAAATCCTGGGTAGCCCTGCGCCAATACTTTATAGTTGGTGAAGCTGAATATAGCGTGTCTCTACAAATGGGCACTGTAGATTTCACCTTTTCGACAGTATGAGGTCTCGAAACTAGTTCAAGTCTAATGTAGTCGGACGAGAAATGCACCGCCTAAAAACATTATATATATATATATATGTGTGTGTGTGTGTGTGTGTGTGTGTGTGTGTGTGTGTGTGTGTGTGTGTGTGTGTGTGTGTGTGTGTGTGTGTGTGTGTGTGTGTGTTTACTGTGTACATATACAAGTTAAATTTCTCAAAACGAGATAGATGTACCACTGCCTGCCTACACTTTCGAAACTTAATCATAGAACTACGCTTAATACAAAACATCGTCATAAATTTGAATGGCGTTACGCCAATAGAATATTTGGAAAGCCGCACAATTTAAGCTGTCGATACAAATTGAGAACTGGTTACAATGAACTTACACAGATTACCAGACGAACTATATATACAATAGGAACTTTTTATTATGTTTTTGTGTTGTTTTAATATGCTTATTATGTAACAGGCCTTTCATAACGCAATAATTATTATCTTCCGCAGAACATGCATGATAAAACTGAGTCGTAATCGATATAAATGTTATGACAACGTTACTTATACTCGGGTCTCTCGAGAAACAATCGAGCGAATGTAGGCTCATACGAGGAACACTAGCTGTGCTGTGGATATTGTAGAGACTGCTGACAAAATGAGCGTATGATTTGATCGCAGTTTTGACACTTTTCCGCTCTTTGTAGTTCGCCAGTAGGCACTCATGATGTAGCGCAGCTCAAAGCGCTGTTTGAATGAGAAGCTAGGCGGATCCATGCGAATTCCGATCAACTTTTTTTTTTGGGGGGGGGGGGGGGGTCGGCAGGCTCTTGAAACAGTGAACGTATCGACACAATTTCAGCGTACCTACATATTCACTCGTGCACCATTGTGCTTAGTAGGTGTGCATACACTGATAAGTGCTCATAAACGCATTAAACGCGCTAAAAACGACCAATTACACGCTTTGGCAGGCTACGGCGCACGCGCTCCCAATGCAGACGCTCCTGAGATCTTCAGAATGAATGGATGGATGGATGGATGGATGGATGGATGGATGGATGGATGGATGGATGGATGGATGGATGGATGGATGGATGGATGGATGGACGGATTGATATGGCTGTACCCTTTATATCGGGTGGCGGCTAACACCACCTAGCCGTAATACTTAGTGAACTAAAACCTAGATATATCTTTTTTTTCCCTTAAAATAGGGAAGTTGGGGACAGGTACTTTGCAGTGAAGGATTTAATTTTCACTCGTGCCTTGACTTTAGCCACCAATCAGATAACCTCCTTCTAGTTAATTCTACCCACTTAAAGTCTATTTTGCCCTCCCTGTCCCTAAACCACAGTGCTTTGAAGAACTGTGCGCCATCATCCTGAACTATACGGTGAAGCCCTTTACAGAACATTATAAGGTGTTCGGCAGTTTCCTCCTCTCCACACGCACTGCATACCGAGTCTACCCCTTCGTATTTGGCCCGATATGTTTTGGTTCGCAATACTCCCGTCCTGGCCTGAAACAGTAGAGAACTACCCCGAGTATTATCATAGATCCTTTCCTGGGCAATATCCTGCTTAAAAGTTCGATAGATCTCTAGTGCGGACTTCTTAATCATGCCACTTCTCCACATATTGGTCTCCGTTTCCTTCACCTTCTTATTAACCAGTAGCTCTTTATGGTTTGGCCCCCTGCTCTTTGCTAAACATTTACTCGTCAATTTTCTGGTTCGCTTCCTCCATTTTGTATCGGCATTCTTCATGTACAAGTAGCTGAAAACCTTCCTAGCCCAACGCTCTTCCCCCATTTCTCTCAATCGCTTCTCAAATTTTATCTTGCTGCTAGCTTCCCTGGCCTCAAATGATGTCCATCCCATATCACCTTGTACTCCCTGATTTGGTGTATTCCCGCGAGCTCCTAAAGCAAGGCTACCTATTCCACGTTGCTTAATTTCTAATCTTGCTTGAACTTCCGATCTCATGCACAAGACCACATTGCCGAACGTCAGACCAGGAACCATGACCCATTTCCATATTCCTCTCACAACATCATACCTATTGTAATTCCACAGTGCCCTGTTTTTCATTACCACTGCATTCCTGTTACCTTTAGTTGTCACGTATATTTCGCGTTCCCTTAGGTACTCGGCCCCATTGCTTATCCATACGCCCAGATATTTGTATTTATTTGTTATCTCTAACGTGACCTCCTGTATTCTAAGCTCACTACCTTCATTGTCATTAAAAATCATGACTGCTGATTTTTCCTTACTGAATCTGAAATCTAACCTATCTCCCTCATTACCGCAGATGTCCATAAATGTCTGCAAATCTTCCTTGTTGTCGACAATTAGCACTGTATCATCTGCGTACATCAATGCTGGTAGTGCCTGTTCAATGAGTTTTCCTTTTTTGACGAAAGAGAGGTTGAAGCCAAGTCCACTTCCATCTAATTTGGCCTCTAATCCTTGTTGGTACATCACGAATAACAAGGGAGACAGAAGACACCCCTGTCTAAGCCCCCGTTTTACCTCTGTGGGCTTGGATACCTGTTCTCCCCACTTTATAACTACCTTCTTACCTTTATAGATATCCTTTAAAAGATTAGTGACTCCAACTTCCACGCCTAGTGTGTCCAGTATTCCCCACAATTCCTCTTGAACCACACTATTGTACGCTCCCTTGATATCCAAAAAAATGCTAGCCACAGAGGCCTGTGTTCCTTTTCTGCTATTTCGATGCACTGCGTCAGCGAGAACAGATTGTCTTCCAACCTCCTGTGTTTCCGAAACCCATTTTGCAGTTCCCCCAGCACCCTTTCATCCTCTATCCACGCTTGGATATAGGATGCCTCTATCATCCTCTATCAGTACCATGAGACTACAGCGCCGCCGCTACTGTCACCCGCCGGAGAATCAGCCGAGATGCGGAGCGGCCGCCTCATTCACTCCACTGCCCTCTTCTAGTACACTGTGTGGCCACGGCGTGTGGTAGGTGTTCTGCGGTATGTGTTCATGGCCTCTGAGATGGTGAACGCGCAATCCGAGACGGCGAACGCGGAGTGTTCGTATCACAATAGAGTTTCCTAATATACACTAGAGGGAACTCTGGCGCTAGTGTCTATAGAAGCTGTAACGCACGGCGCTTCAGCGAGCATGGGCATGATCGGTAGTACACACATTTGTATAAACATCGTACTTCTGGTCTGCTTTTGGCTCCGTGTGCGTTCGTGTGGCTTGAAGCTGCTTTCTCACGAAACAAAAATGAGCAAATGTTCAGTGGCTGCTGTTCACCACCCAATTTTTTTAGACTTACCTTTCCAAATTCGGTCACGAAGTTCAAAAGGGTTGAATTTTTTGTTCAAAACAAAACCGAAATACAGCAATAAACGAAGCCACAAGTACGATTCGCCGCCCGCAAGTACGAAGACTAGGCAAATGTATGTACTACTAGGGCAGTGCACCCGCTTTTGATAGAGGCACAGAGACTACTAGAAGGGAAACGAGCGCAGCTGTCGTCGCTGTTGTACGAGTATGACGCGATGTTTACTGACCATCCCGGCCGCACTACGCTGGTCAAGCATAGAATTGACACGGATGATGCGCGTCCTTTGAAATGCAATCCCCGACCGATCAGCTTGGCTAAACGGAAAGCACTTGACGCAGCCTTGGACGAACACATCGACAAAGGCGTAGTTGAGAGGCCAAACAGCCCATGAGGTCTTCCGGTAGTTTCAGTTCCAAAGAAGGATGATACGTATCGCCTTTGTGTAGACTACCGCGGGCTGAATGAGGTTACGAAGAAGGACGCGTACCCCCTTCCCTCCATTTTATCGCTAGTATCCAACCTTGGCAGGGCGAAGTACTTCACCACGCTCGATGCTAGCCGTGGATATTTTCACGTTGAGATGGACGAGCGGGATAAAGAGAAGTCAGTTTTCACGTGCCACAGGGGACTTTTCCAATTCTGGAGAATGTCTTTCGGCTTAGGGGGCGCTCCCGCTACGTATCAGAAACTAATGGACCGTGTTTTGGGAGATGCAAAGTGGCAGCACGCACTCGCATATATAAACGACATAGTGCTTTACTCGAAAACGTTCGATGAGCACTTGCGCCACTTGGGAGACGTTCTAGAAAGGTTGAGGTCTGCGGGCATAACTCTGAACCCAAACAAATCCCAGATAGCGGCGACCCGGGTAACATTATTGGGATTTACGTTTGACGAGGGTCGCATTTTGGCAGATAAGAGTAAGCTTGAAGCGATAGTCAGCT